GCAGGGTTCTCAAACGCGTTCATCGTCGAGGTTAGTATTCAATCTCTTAGTCTCTTTCTACTCTTTTTCTTTTATATATATGCATATGTATGTGTGTTAAATTCAAAATAAGGGATTAATTTACTCTCTTGAAATGAGATCTTGGATGAGTTTAATAGATTTTCGATGACTGAATATGTAGGATATGCAAATTTTGCCACCTTGGGAGTTGTGTGCAAGCGCTGTGATGGTGAAGGAGGTGAATGCAAGAGCTCATGGAATGCCTCCCATTCTTGCCCAAAGATTCAATGCCTTCCATGGAAATACCACCTCTGATGTTATGAATAATAGGATTCCTTGGTTTTCTGTATTAGGCCTTTTCTCTTATGCTTACTATATATAGATATTAAGGTAGCTTGTTTATCTGCTTTCAGCTGACAAATATATATATGTATGTAGTATATAGTTCATATAAGACAAAATAAGTACATTTGACCATAGAGAATTAATGGATTTTGCTTTTATTCATATGTAACTTTGATAAAAATGAAGCACAAGTCTCTTCTGTCAGATTAAACCAGAATGAGATGAACCCGTGCATCACCTTTTTGCTTTTCTTAGATTTGATTGCTTCTTTGCTAATCAATTATGATTAAGAGAATCTTATCCTTGGGTCAGATTTATTCATGTCATCAGAAGGTTTTTTGTCATTTTCACAAAAAAATTTTAAACAACACGACAGATGTGATTTTTAATGAAATATCTCAAACTTTTAATTAAAAAAAATTATGATTACGAGAAAAGAAAATGCAGTACGTTATTAATTTTTTGATTGAGATGTTTAAACTAAAAGATTCACCTACAAAATGTTTGTAATTAGCTTATTAAATCCAGTAATCAATTTGGTAACGCATAACATATATATTAATCCCATAAAAAGCTATACATTCAAGTTACTATATATATATATATATATATATTATATCTAATTTAATTATTGAGAATTATATATTACAGTTAAACTTCAATTAATTATGGAATTCTATCATTAGTTCCTTAATTTTGATGTCATTAAATCTCATATATTTTTTTCCTTTTTAAGTTTATATTAAATAAGTTTCTATTTAAACATTAATATATATAATTTAAAATTTTATCAAATACAAAAGTATTAATTTACATAAAACTTCAAATCATTAATTATAAGGTTTGCAAAGTGTTTATTATTTCGTATCTTTTCATTGTAATAGCAAAGGTTCTATTTTTTTTTCCTTTAAATAAAATTGTGAAGAAGAAAAATCTGAAAACTCAATTCTTTGACTAAACAGATACATACAATCTACCGTTAAGCTATAATATTCAAGTGCAATATGCCAACATCGTCGAGGGTTAAATCTTTGAAATTATCTATTCTTAAAATGACATTTTTTTTTTCACATCCATACTCTTTATTTCTAACCCTTCATGTAAGTATAAATGGATATAAAATTTGACCTTTTATTACGTACAATTTAATAATAAATTTTATATATGTATATGTGTGTATATACGTATATTTTTCTATAAAAATATACTACCAAAGAGCAAAGGCCTCAAAAAGTCTATTTAATTTACCAAGTTGTAATATATATATATATATATATATATATATATTTGGAAAAAAGGATAGGCCCCATGAAAATTACTTAAATGCAAGGCAAATTGTCTCAGATTCTGACAATCTAAAGAATGTTCTTCACTTGTTGCAATTTGACTAGTGGATCAAATTCCTTTGTGGAGTTATGAAATTCTAACCACAATTTCCATATAAATTGGTATGTAGACCAATGGAAAGATTGAATTTGGAATCCAAGAAAAGCTGGAAAATTAATTACAACCAATTTATTCTCATAGTTATCGATTCAAACTTATAAAACTCATAAAATATTTTTTTTACAAACATCACAAAAATATCAATTTCTTGAAGGGCTTTGATATCATTTATCAAAGGATTCAAATGTTTTCTCAGGTTTTTTTTTAGTTTTCTATGAAATTATTTATATAAATAAAAATTACAATAATAATGAAACATTAGTGGAGAATACATAGAATCACAAAGAAATATTGTTTGAACATTTTAAGTTAAGGAAAATTATTATGCTTTTGAAAGTTTTATAAAGTTTTGCATTTATTAAGAGGAAGTGGCGTCAATGACATCACATTTTGCTTGAATATTAAGGGAATCATTTCCCATTTTTAGTTTGCTAGGAAATTCATTTGTCTTCCCTTTTTTTAGTAATTGATGATTAATGCAAAGAAAAATTCCAGTCAATAATATTCCTATATATTTCTCAATATATATAAGGCTTGTGGTTCATTAACCATATATATTGAATTTTATATTAACCTACTATATTAAGTGTAAGTTATTAAATAAATGTGCACTCATTTTTTAATAATAATTAAGTTAATATAATACTATATCAAATTAAATCCTCGAGTAATTTACTTCCTAATTATTTTCTTTTCACAATGTTCTTATCTTTAACGAGATACCCTAAGTTGGTAATTATTTTTAACTTAAAAATATGGAATTCAAACCTTAAAAATGAAAAAAAAATGAAGGAAATCGATGGGATGGAAAAGGATTATCTCTTGTCTGGTAACTTTATGTCAATTTTTTGTCAATCAAATATAAAAAAAAAGTTGAAGAGAATGATCACACAATAATAGGGATGCATGATGTGCCACCTAGCAAACTCTTGTTGAATATAATTTTCCATTGTATGTGGACAAGTTGAACCTAGCTAGCCCTCTCCTATGATCCAAAACTCATGACAGGCAATTATTGTACCTTACAAGTAAAATTAAGGGAGTGAGAATCCTCACTGCAGAAAAGAATATGATCCTGTATATGACTTCAACAAGTATATCTTTTCAAGCTTCATGTGGTGTTTGCAAGAGCTTGGGGGCAAATAATAGAATTTCCAAGTATCAATGCATTTGCTAATGAACTTCTTGGAAAAGTGAAATGGATAGGAAAGAGAGAGAGAGAGAGAGAGAGAGGGAAGGGGAGGGGGGGTAGGCATATGCTGTCAAACAAAAATCCAATGGTGTAGCATGTGATAAAAGTTTAACTTCTCTGCCCTTGGAAATTGGCACATTCACGAAGGAAAGAAAGAAAGAAAAAAGGGTTTCATTCTTAAGCACTTGTCCATAGCTATCCAAAAGGAACCTAAAAGGAAATGATATCAAAGGAAATTCCCAAAGTACCATATCATCATCCCAAGGTATATAAATCATTTATGCTTTGCATATCTCTTTTTTAATGTTATCTAATAACAACTTTAGAAAATATTAGTATAAGTTCCTATAAAAGTATTAACACAATTTCTCGAAAAAGTTTTTTACAGTTCAAATTTAAAACTCAACCCTAAAGGTTTTACATTCGAATCTTGAAATTACGCTTTTGTTGTTTATCTTGAAAGTTTCAAATTCAAATCTTTTGAAAGTTTCAAATTCAAATCTTGAAATTACGTCTTTGCTACTTTTTATTGTATATGATATGACTTGATTAAAGGGTCCGTTATTAATCATCATATTTGTTAAGTAGTAATATAAGATTTGATGGCTTAAAAACCTTATCTAGAAATCATGTTTATCTAAATTCAAGTATAAAATGTTCTTTGTCAACTTCTAAAATGCCAGAGATATGTATGAAAACCAGGCAATTAGTATAGCCTTTGGGATGATCAAGATTAGGAGAGGGTTGAGACAGTTATCTTGATTCCTCCAATGACAAGTTTTGAATAGATCTTTACAGCTCTTGTGCTAACCATGAATCCACACAATTTAGCTAGGGTTTGATGAGATTAAAGGAAACGATGTGGCAACTAATCATTGCTATTCCCATGATGAGATGCTAATTAATTAATTAAATGTCATTATCTAATCCCCAATATCTCTCTCCCTCCCTATGGTCCCCTTTTGTTTTCTCTTTTTGGTATTATTCAAGTAAACTACAACTCTCTGGAATCTTTTCTATTTTCAGTTAATCATTGTCCGACTTGAAAAATAATATGCTAAATCATTGTAGCTTTAGCTAATAAATCTAATTTACTTTTTTATATAACAAATGGATTATTATCTTATACATATAAATTTTAATATACTCCATTGAAGTATGATAAATTCCGACACGTAGCTTAACTTTAAATGTTTTCGATTTTAATAAAAGTTAAATAATATTTTTGATCATTACAAAACAATGAACACGTAATTAAATAATTAATTTTTTTAAAAAATAAATCGAAATAGATACACATCAATCTTTTAAATTCATTTATCAAATTGATGTATTAAATAATAATATTCGAGAATAAATTAAACTTCTATCAAGATTCGATGGTAACCTTTTTTTATCACATTTTGATTTTTCCACTATCAAAATGACATCTCTACAAGTTGAAAGACAATAAAAGAATGTCACACACCTTCTCAATCTTGTCTTCAAGAAACATATATTCGGTCCTTGATTCTTCAAAGATTTGCAAAGAAGATAGATTGCTATAATATCTTTCATTGCATGGCATAATGGTATCTTCAAATGATTCTGCTGATCAGAGGGGGATGATGAAAAGACTTCCCCCAAAGAGTCAACTGTTTATTATGTAACAATGGCATATCTCACACCTTTCAACTTGAAACCCAGCAACCTTATCCATTAATTCTATCACACATAATGAAACACCAACAGCTAAGAGTCTTCTCCATAACTCTAAATTGGTTCTTTTTTGTTTATGGGGTTTGGACAAAGGTCAGAGATATACCCAATGGGGACACATGGCAGGCAAGGGTTGGGTTTAGATAAGAATGTCCACTTGGGTGTTGATTGATGCACCAGGTGTCAAAAACCAGACACGGAATGAATGTGTTCACATGGGGTTTTCTTTAGCCTTTAGATTCCTCCAAAATCCAAATGGGGGGCGTCGAAGTTGAAGTTAGAGCCTTTTTTGGGGGCTTATAAATAGCTTAGACGGTTTGCCAACGACATCTATACATCCGCAGTCTTCACGTGCTCTCTCTCTCTCTCTCTCTGTGTGCTTTGCCCCTTGCATTTCCTGCTATATCCTGGCTTCTTTATTAGTTATCTGTTTGCTTTGTTATTTTTTTCTTCTTTTCTGAAAGACAAATCTTATCCACTGCCAACCTCCCTTTGTTTTCTTTTGTTTGGTCTCTTTTTTTGAGGGTCGTTTCCTGTTAAAGAGATATATATCTATCAAAGAGTAGTTTTGTTCGTTGGTTGACAAAGAAAGCTTTTTTAAGTTAAAGAGTATGGAAAACAAAAGGCAAGTGTGTGGTTCTTCTTCCTCTTCTTCTTACTCTTCATCATCATCATCATCATCTGTTTCTTTCGATCATCTCTTTGGTCCCAAGGACTCTTCTTCTTCATCCTCCACAAGTGGGATTTTTGGGACTATTTTCCCTCCCCCATCAACGGTAAACATCCCTTTTGCTTCAACAAGTTCACTCTCCTGGTCTTTTTTCCCCCTCTCTTTTTTCATAAATGATACAACTTTGTTGGTTTTGATGGCTTAGAACGAGGAGAAAAAAGTACCCTTTACTCTTTAGGCAACTATTTACTTACTAATATGTGAAATTTGATATAGGGAGGTAATGCTTGATTGGAAGTTGAGAAGTTGATACATAAAGGATAAAGATGGTTTATTGCCTATAGTTTGTTTGTTTATTTGTTTCTTGTTTCCCACTTCATGATGGAATTGGATTGGACTTGGTTTTATATGAATGATGATAATAAAAAGTTGATGGGATTTATTTTAGTAAATGATTCTTGAAAAGATGCAGGGAAGCTATACATAACACTAAGCCCGTACATCAGGTGCTTGTTGTACCCTTATTTATCCTATATTCACTTGGTCGGTTGATTCTAGCTAGAGGAGTACTCATTTTTTTCTTTTGAATATTTTACTTTGTTAAACTGATTTGCATCAATGGATATGGGAAGTGAAGGATAAGAAACAAATGGTAGGCTGATCTGTATATTCCAATACTAACTAGGTAGTGCTTTTGGATTAGAATGTGAGGGAAAGTTGCCTATGGACTGTGCAATGGAACCTTACCTTGGTGACTCCTGACTATGCATGGCTTCTTTTTGTTGTGATTATCCTTCTTTTATGTTCTGATGTTTATTAATTTTTTTGGTCATTTTTACATGAATTGCTGCAAAGGTCTTAATTGTTCACTTTCTTATTTCAGGTGCTAGGGAGGGACTCCAGTCACTCTGGAATGATGGGGTCATGGAATAGTCAGGGTTTGCCCCATCATGGCAAATATGGAAACCCAGGTTTGTCGGCCTTTTTTGTACCAATGTTGTTAATTGTTTAACTTTGTCATTGTCTTTTCTGCTGGTTCTTGGATGGATTTGCAGGAAATGTTGATTTTTTTGGTAAAAAAGAAAACCATATATCTGGAGTCAAATTACTGATGATAGGTCTCAGGCCAGCTTTTACTGGATTCTCAAGTAACTGATAGCATGAGAAAGTTGAATATTAGCATATGTGATGAGAACCTGCACATGTTTATTTCAGATCATTCCACTGATAGCAAGGGACGAAGCAGTGGCACAACTCACAAAGACAAGAGTTCATCCATTTATCAGAATGAAACAGTGGAACCTTGCTATTTCAGCTCATCAATATACTATGGAGGACAAGAAAATTATTCTCCAAGGAAGAATACCAATGAGCCTCAACATTATGTATGTATAACACACATCGCAATACTACTTAACTCATACGCTTTTCTGTGTGCCACCCTGTGAGAGTATTGTCTGTTTTCTGAAGCAATATAGGTCCTTCATCTTGCTGCGCTTTTTCCTTTTCCCTTCGCAATTGAACAAATTTAAGGCGCACGACGATTCAAACCTTAGATTTTAACCTTCACCTAGAATTTAATTTTCTTCCTAGTCTCCAAGCTATTTTTGGTTTTATGTTTCTTTAGAACACTTCTCTTTATGCTAATTAGCAGGGCTTTCTCTGTTCTTGTTGCTTTTGTTTTGACAGTTCAAAAAGGATGGGGAAGATGATGACCCCAATGGGAACAATTCTGGTGGTGCTTCAAGAGGGAATTGGTGGCAGGGTATGGAAAGCAGTGGATATTTGGAGATAAATCAAATACCCTTCATTGTCTTTATACATCACATCGAACGGTCTTTAACCGATTATTCTTTGTTTGTGCAGGCTCACTTTATTACTAACATCTCAATCCAAAATAATGCAAATCTGCCATCCCAATACTCTAAGGCATATATTAAGAATTCCCTGATGGATGTTCTTTTCCTTTATCTGTATATGCACCCTTCTGTTATGGATTTTTAGTTCATTTACATTTACCACTTCAAAAATTTATTCATAGAGTACTATTCATGTAGCCTGGCATACTTTCATTGTTCTTTGCATATTTCCTTTGATCCAGCTGATTGAAACTATGTTTCATGGACTATTTTTGCAGGAATACTGGCAGTATGATCGTCTTTACACTATGGAAATAAGCTGGTAGATAGCTAGCAGTACAGTAGAAGCATATAGAGCATAATACAGCTTAGGACTTGTGGCAGAATGTTGTGGTTCTTTTTGTCCCAACTCTTCCACTTTGAGCAAGTCTCACTTGTAAGCTGATATGTTTAGGGCAGTTTGCGGAACCTTGTATTATATGTTTCTTTTGCCTGACTAGTCTAGTCTCCATGTACTGAACTATTCTCAGTTGGATTTTTGCCCACAAGCAAATCAACTAGTATAGCTATTGACATAAACATCCTTCCCGTCTCCAAATGGATTCCACTTTCAAGAGTAGATGCATTTTAGGCTATCTTGAATACAATGAATGATCACAAACTTAAACCAATTCAGAGAACAGGAAAGTCACCTGATTGGATACCAGATTCCATAATTCTGGTCTATTTTATAGAGCAATCAAGCAAGCTAAGGGTCTCACTCTGCAACTTGTAAAAAGGATGCCATTATATGGGGGAGAAAGGTTTCTGAGAACTTAGCAATAAGAACAATGTTATAGAAAGATAACTAAACACAAGCATTTTATTTATCATACAAATGGCCAGATGTCACAGTTAATTCATCAGCTAGACGAACTAGTTAAAGAAAAGCATAAAATCCAGCACACACGGTACTTCTAATGGTAGGCACACAGCACCGGGAACCATGACTTGGGTCCTTCATGTTCAAGGCAAAGTGTAATCTGCAAAAACATCAGAAGCAGAAAAATGAGAATTAACCTTGCAGAGATCTTATAAAGCAGAGGACAAATGTGTAAAGAAAACTGTGATCAATCCTATATCAAATAAAACATATATATACCTCCACATTTGTAACCCACAGGACGATCAGCAATGTTGCAGCGTTTAGGAATGGTGACAGCAATTTCTGGCTTGACTCCAGAACTCTTAGCTGTGTTAGAAAGCATAACAGCACAGAGGCATCTTGGATTCTGGCCCATTTTCTTCACCTGCTGGCAGCAACTGTCAGACACTTGAGCATTCGAATCCTGAGCTGCCATTGCACAAGGAGCCAACTTCCAGGCTTCCCTGTCAGGGGATGATCTCCCACACTCACCGGCACCTTCTGCTACATTAAGCACAGCAATGCCCAGAATAGCAACAAACACCAGAAAGCAGATGTACTTCATTCTTTTTTTAGTTTCTTCAATATTGCAATGCATAAACACTTCTCAACTTCAAAATTTATAGTGAAACATGAAGCTCAAAAAGGTTTCTTTAAGAGTAATACATGTGAAACCCACAAATCATAGTGGAGGTAGCACTAGACAAAAGAGCTTTGTTTATTGCAGCACCTACTACTCCAAAGACATGTATTTTAGGAATTTCGTGGCTATTTTAAGCCAATGGCGGTTAGTGCTGGCTCAAGTCATTACTGTAATTCCACTACTTCGTTATCCTGAAGGGGCAAGAAAGAAATCTTTTTCATGAGCAGCTGCCAGCATAGCATCTAACGAGTTCAAAACCTACCAACATATCCATTACACCCTCTTTCTCTAGAGTCTAGAAACTTCAATTTCCTCATTAACAACATAATTGAACCCCTGTTTGAGTTGAAACATATGTACAAAATACAAATCTTCTTATCTTTAACTTGAAGAGAAGTGGGAATCAGAGCACCACTGTTCCTGCTATTAGCCTAGTGATCAGTATATGGACCGTCAACAGTAACAATTACCCTTGTTATATGGAAGGGGATGATGCTATCTCCAGTGCAATGAGATCTAAAAAAGGTAGCTTGCTTGTAGAAAATTCTACGAAGTGACAGAAGATAGGTATTCTTGGCACAAACGTGAGTGTGTTTGTCACAAACGAAGGCAATCAGAACATTTATCTGGGGATCAGACAGCTTTGCGACATCTTAGACTCCTTTTTTTCTTTTCCCTATCGGCTTATCCTCATCTCTTTTTTACTTTTTTTAATGTTATATTTCTACCAAAGGGGGCCCTATTAAATCATCCACAGCTTGCTTTCTCACCAATCTAGTACAAGTCTGCAACATCCTTTTTGGCATGTTCTCCTGCTGCATCTCCAACAGTTGTTTAACCACTGTTGACAGGCAAAAACCCAGTAAATTATGAATGACCCACTTGCATCATTCACCTTCATGCTAGGACTAGACCTTGTCTATTCTGCTTGCAGAATCACCAGCTGTTCTCCTCTTACAAGTTGCAAGTCATATCGTTCAGGATCTGATATCTTTGGCTATAAACTGCATATTCCCACAGTCACCTACCGTTGCTTTCACTGCTTCTTTGTTGCTTTTATCCTGTCTTGTCTCTTTTAGTTTCAATGTAATCTCTACCATTTTCTTCAGTGGGTATCTTCAAGGTAGATAATAGGGAGGGAAGATAACCCTGGAGCAAGGTTTTCAGTTTGGAAAAGGCCCCTCGAGCTGAGCAACTAAGCGCTTGTAGCTTATCCAATTGTTTCAGCAAAAAAAGGAAAGAAAGTGGGTGTGAGAGTTCTTAGAAGCTGCGATGTTCACCCACAAAATAGGAAAGAACAGAGAAAGCATAACATTTTCCCCCTGTCCACCCAATTTCATTCACTTCAAACATGAAATTATCCTTCAGGAATGTTATCAGTTAGATCTTTCACTTCTCCATTGCTGAGAAGAAGGTTGTCTGAGCTACAAGATACAAATGTTTCTGAAAGATTACTGAACTTATATTTAATATTCAAAAGCAGCAACTACAATTTTCATTTGTTATTCAAAGATACAACAGCAGTTTTATTTATTACTTAAAGGCTGGATGTCACAGTGGAACTAGTCAACTAGATTGACTAGCAACAAGGACAAAATCCGGCACACTGATACTGCTAACACCGAGTCGTTTAGTACAGGAAGAAGAACCATGGAGTCTTCACGCTTAAACCAGTGGGAAAGCTGCAAGAGATAAAACAATAGCTTCATGAGATGCTAGAAGACAAAATGACTACCACTAGAACCATTATATGAGAGTAAAGGAGAATAATATGTAAATTCTACCTCCACACTTGTGACCCACGGGACGAACAGGAATGTTGCAGCGTTTGGGAATGGTGACAGCGACTTCTGGAATGACTCCAGCACTCTTAGCTGTATAAGAAAACAGAATAGCACACAGGCAGGCAGGATTCTTGAGCTTTTTCTCCATGACAGTGCAGCAACGCTCAGAAACTGGAGCTTCCAAATCTCGAGCTGCCTTCGTACAAGGAGCCAGCTTCTCAGCTTCCTTCTCGATGTCATGTTTCCCACATGGGCCATATCCATCTACTCGATTGAACCCAGCAATGCTCAAAATCACAAGAAACACTACAACACAGGTGTACTTCATTGGAGCTCCCATTTCTTCAATGCAATTCAGGGACACTTCTGGACAACTTAAACTGAAGCAATGACACTTCTCGATGACTTATACTGAAACAATGACACTTCTGGACAATTTATACTGAAACAAATAGCTAAAAAATAGCCAAATACAAGTGAATTCAATCAATTACAATGGACATAGAACTAGAGAAAAGTCTTTGTCAGCAATTAGCCCTAATATTCCAGAACATTGATTCAGAGTTAACCTGACTATCAAGTCATATATTACACCTTGTTTCACTGGACTCTCTTGTCCCTAACTTCATGAAAACCATCCAAGGCTTAAATATTCATGCAAACCAGAATAATGCAGCACAAGCCAAGGTCAACACAGCAATAAAATAGTACTGGAAACAACTGAAAGAAGGTATAACTTCAAACCAACCAACGGGAGTTAGCTTATAAAAAAAAAAACCTAGTCTAGCAATTTCCGATATTACCTACTTCTATTCTGCCTTCACAGCATCTTTGTGGGCTGATAAGCTTGTGGTTTTCGTTTTTCTGTATGTGGTTGTGTTTTTACTGTGGGTCTTCAGCTAAAAACGCATTAAGACAAACCAGAGTCAATCTTCAAGACATCCATGCCCTTTGAAATCTCAATCAGCAACTCATTTCCCTGTTTATCTGTCAATTGAAATACAAACTCTAGCAATTTTCCAAACACTACTCTTCTGAAACCTGGAGCTAGTCTCAACCCTACTTGATACCAAAACTGATACAACAATAATAAAAACAAAATCAAAGGTCCAAGTGAAAAGTTACAGAATCAAACAACACTTTCAATGTTTCAACTTTCCCTTTGTTTCATCATAATTCCACACCTATATCATACAAGAAAGAGATATATAGAGTAATCAATAACCCAAATTTAAACATCAACAACATTCAAGTCCGAATCTTTGTAGCCTTGTTCCATTATAATTCCATTCCACCTTAGATCATACAACAAAACATACCCAGAAACATTAAAATTTAAAAATCCAAGAAAAAAAAAGATCAACATTCTCAAATTTTAAACTTTTTTTTCTCCTTGATTCAGTATAATACCACCTAGATCATACAACAAACAGCAACAATAACTAAGAAACCACCCAACGTCTCAAAGTTCAGTCTTTTCCCTTCATTCTGCTATAATTCCACCTACATAATACAACAAGAAAGTATAAACCTTAACGAGTAAAAGCATAGAGTCCAACACAAACATAGATCAAAAGAGCAAGCGGGACCAAAATAACAAGAGGAACAACCGCCGCAAACGCATGTCCACTCCCACAAGCCAAAGTCCCAACCTTGATCTGAACAACATTAACCAAAGCCAACATCAAAAACACACATCCAGCCACCGACCCAGCACCCGAAACCAACATCCCGACACGAAGCAACGACTTATTAACATCAACGTGTTCCAACAACTCAGCTCCTCGGAAGTTAATGTGGATGTTCAAAGCATGGGACTTGGAGATCTTGATAGCTTGCTTGAGAGCTAAGCGACGAGGCTGGAGAAGAGGAAGGAGCTGAAGGAGTAGACGTGGAACTTTATCAAGTCTTCAGCGATTCTCGAGTTCGAGAAACATGGGCTGCCTGGGTTGACGAGGGTGTTGCTGGAATCGTAAGGGTTCCAGGCTAGGCCGATGAAGACGGCTAAAGTGAAGAGGGAGTTCACGTTCACGACGCTGTCCAAGGCGGTGACGTGGATGCTGGTTGTCATGATCGGGCAGGTGGGAGAGTTTCAGTAGTAAGATCAGACAGCGGAGATCTCTTTGTCTCTGTTACGGTGACGGTGGCGTTTTAGCTCGCATTGTTTAGTTCGAGGTTGTTGGAATTTTTCTGGAATTTGTTTTTTTTCCCGGAAAATGTGTCAAAAAAGAAAAAGTAAGTGTTGAGTGAGTAGAAGAAAGATATTTCCCTTTCTCTTTTTCGAAAGAAGCTTTTACGAATTAAAAAATCCAGTCGCCGTTGCCGGGGATCGAACCCGGGTCGCCGCGTGACAGGCGGGAATACTCACCACTATACTACAACGACCGTGCTATCAGGAGCGTTAAATTGTTTGTTCTTCATGGTTTAGATTGTTGTGTAACGTTTGATGTCAACTAGAAATGGATGCTTTGTTATCTTTCCTTTTTTGTTGGGTATGTTCTCAACCTAGTCGACAATAGTGATTCATAAAATCATATTTTATGGATTTTTTGTTTTTTCAATCTATTTTTATCAAATGTCATGGTATCATATTTTTAAGTTATCAAGAGATCTTTTAGTAAGAGGAGAAGTAGTGTTGTAACAACTAAAATGAGATGCATTAGAAGCAACTAAAAGGAAAAGGAAGAACGGTATTCGAGTACTTATGGTAAGATGTATTGGATACAAATTAGCAGAGTTGAGCATCGGTCAATGTGATCGATTTAATTGCGAAGGAGGTCACAATTGACCAAGTTAATCAAGCCACCGATTAATGTAAATGAGAGAATTGACCAAACTATGATTGACCACGACGATTGAATTGTCAAGGCTCTAATGTATTATCAAGTAAAAATGGCTTCTTTGAAGCAATTGGCGAGAAATTATTGATTAGACATCATGGGAAAAACACGTATGAAAAAAACACATTCATCATGGGAAGAATAGTTCATTAGGAAAAAAACACATATATAATGGAACAACACATTTATCATGAGAATAACACACGAATTGATTATGTATATTGAATAGTTGGCGAGAGTCTTAGTCTAACAACATAGTGGAGTTTAGCGAGGAGGACCTCTAAACTAACTTCATACTTAGCCATCAAATCAAATTTTCTTTATAACATTCTAAAGATGAAATTAACTCATGAAATTTACCATTTGTTTTGACTTATTTTTATTTCTGTTCACATGATATACTTGTTCACATTACTGTATATATAATATTATACATGTTATATAACAATTCTTAAAAATAATAAATTTATAACAAAAATCAAGCATCTAAAATAGTCTCATAAGTCTAAATTTTGATTCTCTACCTCAATTTACAGTTGCATAAATAGTTGTGATCATTACCAATACTTCCTCTTTCTTTTTTTACATTTACTAAATTCATCAATGTTATGTTGGATATTTCATCTTTTAGTTGTTGGAAGATCTAAATGCATTTGTTTATAATGGTGGTTTATTCATGGAAATGCTTAACTGAAGTGTCATATTGAAGATGCCTCTTAGCATGCCCTTCTCCTTGGATGTTCTGCAACCTTTTTAGCTATCAATACTCTCTTTCTACTTTTGGACCAATAAGGGCATTTGGTCTAGTGGTATGATTCTCGCTTAGGGTGCGAGAGGTCCCGAGTTCAATTCTCGGAATGCCCCATAGTTTTTTATTTTATACCATTAAAGAAAAAATAATCTGCATTTCAAGGTTGAAGAGATTGAGTGAACAAGCATCTCATGACTATATTTTATCTCATCTCAGTTACATTCACATTAACACACAGTTGTAACACCCTAAGAAAGAGTAGGCTGCTTTGATACAAATAGCAGCCTGCTTGAAACTACAAGAATATCATGAACACAACCAAAAATATATAAAAATGGAACTCATACACATTAGTATCTTACTACAACCAGAAGTTTTCTGTCATTAACTATTCTATTTGTCTCATCTTATTCTTTTCCTCTGTGGAACAATCTCAAGTGACAGTATATCGCGGAGGAACTTGTCGCGTTCTGGTCCCATTCTGGTATGCTGATGATTGTTTTGATGCAATGTGATCCTTTTGATTCCCTGAGCTCTCTGTACTGTTAGAGTTCATAATTGATGAACGATCTGTTGCATTGCCACATATCTTTGCTTTTGAATCAACTCCAAGATAGTTCGTCAAGACCCTCTTCACTCCAAAGCCACGGCGGTGAGGCTTGCTGTTGTTTTTGTTGTTATTCTCCTTGAGAAAAGGAGTTCTCTCTCCCCTTACAGGGCTGATCAGTGGTGCAGGTGAAAAGCTTGGTGTGGTGACTGCTGTTTTATAGGGAGTGCTAGAGACAGGCACCGAATATGGGATTGAAACCTTTTTGTGCGCAATTACACTAACTGTAGGAATCGATGACACTTTTTCTGAATGCTTAGTTAAGTCATCTACATATAACAAATCATCAATGCGTGCCACAATGTTATATGCCAGGCTTTCTAGAACTCTTGAATAGCTTTCAAGAATAGACTTCCCAACATCCTGAAAATTTAAAATAAGTTATACTTGAGTAACATCTGGTGGGAGAATGAAGTGGCATTTGACAAAACCAGATATTTCTGAAGAATGGGTTCATACCTTGTTGCACTGGATTTTGCTGGTATCCAAGGTAGTTTGAGTCAAAGCGGGGAATCGCTGCTTCAAGCAAAGCAAGAGACTTTCAGCTCTTTCTGCAAGAAATTCCCTCTTGTCTCCATCAACCATTAGGTCTTTTACCATTTCCCATGATGATTTTGCAGTAGATCGGTTTGGATTGATTGGGGGCTTCGAGTGAGATCTTCGACGCCACACATATATCGAGGCTTCAACACGATTTGCAATCTCAAGAGCAACATGCTCAGAGGATAGATCAAGGAAATCAAGCAGGCACTCTGCTGAGAATTGATCAGAGGTAATATACCTATAAATTAGGTCTCCTAGACAAGCTCTTCCATTCTGCAACAACATTTTAGAAAACTATGTCACATTATCTTTGAATGGTATAGCGTTATAAGGTAAATAACTACCCATGGTAGTATTTCTCTGATCTATGTTTGGCCTATAACAATTAAACGAGGTGGTGCAGTAGCTTGAAAGCAGCAATATGAATTGAAAAGTTCTTCTTGTAATGGGGGTAGTTGGCATAACTAACAAACAGTTGCTAGATTTAAGAGGTAAAGTAGGAACTTCTGGCATTGTCCATCTACCTAAATGCAGTTCATGAAATGAAGACATAACAAGAGATCAAAATAGGTATAATTATCAGACCTTCGGAAGAGTGTCCAAGTACGAGTCTGGAACGTCCATTTCTGATAATGAAATGCTGTTGATAGCCATAGCAGCTTTTAATATTTGATTTGTGCACTCACGCGTGTGATTCAGTTGCTTTCTTGCATTATCACTGAGACCGCCTGTAGGCACACGGGGCACAGGTAACCACCACTTCTCCTCCTGGCGTTGCAGTGTTTTCCGAAAGGAGGCTGACCCATCAGCATCTGGGGCTATAATCCCTTGATCAACATACCAAAACTCTGTGTTGGTGAAACTATCTAATATATCCTGCCACAGCAAAAGCCGGCTTATGTTTAAAACATGAACCTGTAGTACCCAAAATTAAGACGACCATGACCCATAAAGCAAGCATTGTTAGTTCTTACCAGAAGCATGTTATCTAACTTACGCAGGGCTGGGAGATTGATGAAAATATCTGATCTAGGCCTGCAAGTCATGACCTATGAAAAACACAGGAGAAAGCAGAAACAGTTAAATGACAAGAAACTTTAAATTGGGTGCCATCTGATTTGGAAATATGCTCTCTGATTGTTGAATTTCATAGCTAAAAAACAGCAAAACAGCTGAATTTAGCTTAATTTACTAAACCTTTACCATTCTATTACAAACAGTGGAAATTCCAAAAGACTAAAAGATCTTTTCTTTTCCAATGCTTTCCTCAGCAACCAAAGAGGATTTTACAGATTGAGAAAGTATAACTTTACAAAATTTCACATTATTCTGAAATTTTTCTTCTTTTTTCCCTTTTTACTGCAACAAAAAATGATTCTGGAGTACTTGAAGACTAAAGATGATAATTACCTCAAGCTTACTTCCATCTGGAAAATTTTGCCAAGAGGGTATCAACTCAACAATGTGGTCGCTAACACAAACTAGCCATTCCATCTCTCTTTTCCACATGGATTTCTTCTCCTCAGCTATAGGCTCTAATCTCCACAATTGCCCAAATATGGTAGCTACATAGAGTTTTTACAAATTAATAAGTTCACAAAAAGAACAAAATAGGAACAAGAACTTCAAAATTCCATAAATTCAGAGAGAGAAAGAGAGAGAGAGCATACCACAGAGATTGGTAATGGCATTTGAAACGGCCAAAGCTGTGCAAACCCCTTTTCCTGAACCTGACATGTCTTCACCAAGCAACAACTTTGCAAACCTCTCCTTCATCATATCAATCTCTACTTAAAATTCAAAAGAAAAAAGAATTAGACTTGGAAGAAGAAAATCACAGATTGATCCAAATTGGAGACATCCAAAGCCAAGAAAGAAAACAAATACTCCCAGAGACATCTCAAACAGTTGGTCTCATGTTAGAATTTTGAAATGGAAAACGGGATTTATGGGATTTATGGAATATGGAGCTACCTCTCTACCTAAACATAAACCAGAAACGAAAAATCCAAAATTTGAACTTGAAAACAACATCACTAACCATTAATCTTTGAACCCAGTTTTGTAAACTTGTCATCTTCATTACTACTCTTGTCTTCATCACCATTTCCATTAGAAACATCTGAGTTCTTTGACAGTGTACTAGCAGTAGTAATAGGAGCAGCAGCCGCATTAGCAGTAGTCGCTCTCCTGATAGGCCAACCCAAAAGAGGAGGTGAAGCAGACCCTGACCCTGACCCTCTAGCCTTACTAACCTTAACTTTGTCAACCAATTTCCCTGAACTTGATCCACTGGAACTACTACTGCTACTAGTTTCCTTAGACTCACCATTACAACTACTCAACCCACTAACAGAATCAGTCCAATCATCTTTCTTCTTCAACAAAGCCTCCATCATCTCCAAGGGTCCTGCTAACTAAACTACCAAAAGCAAAAAGGCTAAGCCTTTGGGTTCCAAAGAGAAGACATTAGCTGGGTGTGGCGAGGATGGTGGGGTGGGAGTTAAAAGATTTGATTTTTGAACTTCTCAGAAGAAGAAGTAGAGATGAGCACGTGCCATTGGGGTAACGTCTCTCTTTGAAAAATGGAAAATGTCTTTCTGATCGTTGGTTTTTGTTGGATTGATTTGTCTCTCTCTCTCTCTCTCTCTCTTTCATGACATTGAAAGCATATGGCTTTCCCTCTCCATCGTCGGAGTAAGGAATACGTTCAAATATAATGATAAAATAACAAAAGGTCGTCGGCTAGTTTAGAGCCCATGGACATGTCCATCCACGTGAACTTACTCTTTTACCCTGTTTCCCAAGTCTAGCAGGGCATTAAATTCTTTTGTGTTCTTTCTTTTATGACATAAAAATATGTTACCCTAAATTTTTATTTGTATTTAAAAATTTAACTTATATTAACTGTAATAGGACGTTTTAATGAAGCCGTTACTTCACGTCTTGATTATTTGCTATACATTATATGTAAGTATTAAATAGTAAATTTTTGTTTGGAGTTAATTTGTTTTAAGAACATGATTACGTGTCATGATTTGAATAGAACGTTACATCATATTTTGATTATTTGTTACCTATTAATATGTAAATATGTAAGTATTAATCGATAAATATTTGTTCCGGCCAAGTTTATATTAACGATAGTCAAAGTAAATAATTAACCTTTTTTTTTTAGAAACGTGATTATGTGTCATGATTTGAATAGAACAATTGCTCCATGTCTCAATCATTTGTTACACATTATATGTAAGTATTAAGTGGGTAAATATTTGTTTCGGCCGGTTACATGTTAACGATTTTCGAAAAGAAAAATTGATTTTTTTTAAAACGTGATTGTGTATCATGATTTGAATGGAACCGTTACTCCACATCTCAATTCTTTGTTACACATTATATACAAGTATTAAACGGTAAATATTTGTTTTGGGTTGAGCTCATATTAATGAGTTTTGGAATAAATAATTAATTTTTTAAAAACGTAATTACGTGCCATGATTTGAATGAAATCATTACTCCACGTCTCGATTATTTGTTACACATTATATGTAAGTATTAAATGGTAATGATTTTCAAAGTAAATAATTGATTTTTATAAGAACGTGATTACTTGGCATGATTTGAATGGAACCGATACTTCATATCTCCATTTTTTATAACACATTAAGTGGTAAATATTTGTTTCCACATGTTCATAGTAACGATTGCGGGAACAAATAATTTATTTTTGAGAATATGATTACGTGTTCGGATTTGAATGGAATAATAGTTTATAAACATATAATGTATAATACTTACTCTTAAACACATGTCATTATATCATTGGGCTTTTGGTCTTTTAATATGCTTAATTAGGAATTTATACTTAAATTAGTAGAAAATAAAGAACAAAGCTATTTAAAGGAAAATTATTGAAATGTGGGGAATCAATGTAAACCGTTGTGTTAGGTTCAAGTCGAGTTGTGACTTTTAAAAAGGTGTAAATTCTCATTTGCTCAATCCAGCCCATGTTATTAAACAGTGGGACTCACTCACTTGTTCATTCAATTTTATTTTATTTTATTTTTTCAATCAATTTAATCATTAAAATCAACTTGACCCAATTCCAAGCCAACCATTCAAAAAGTCAAAAAATTAATAAAAAACAAAAATCAAAATTCGTAATACTAAAATATTTATTAATTTCGACGTATTCAAATTCGAACAATCATAATAAATAATAATTTTATTATTCAAAACTTTATCCGAATCCAATTATGCCCATATTATAAAATACTCATTATCGTCCTAAGCTAGGTAAGAATTCAAGAATTAACAAGCTCCTATTTGTAATAGTGAAAAGATGCAATTGAAGAAAAATACAAATGTGAGTGAAAAAGGTAAATTTTTTCAAAAGAAAAATATGAAAGCAGGGTGGGAATCTATGGTGTTCCTCCACAAATTTTTCACTACTTCAGGTATCAGATACCAACAGGATTTGATTGACAGCACCCCACCAATTGCTAAGGTAAAAAATGGAAAATGCAACTACCATTTATGACTGTTAATAAAGCCATTGATGGCTACCTGGCAGCCATAAAATACACAGTTAAAAGAGATTAAAAGTTATTAATAGTTGAGAAATAAAAAACAGTGGCTTGTCTCCAAATGACAGATATTGGTTAAGGGTGAGGGCCAAGGCTTTTGCAGGTAGAAGAAACAACAAAAAAATTCTTTTGTCTAGTTTTAAATTTTTTTCGATAAACTTTTCATATTAATGGAAAGAACATTAAGTAGTATTAGAGTAATTTTAACCTAAACTCAACTTACGTCAAATATCTCTTAAAAAAAGGCAAGCAAGGTAATTGACAATAACGAAAATATCCATCAATTATAAAATAGATAAGATATTTTAATTTCATATCGAATAAGTAAAAAATTTTATAAAATATATAAACGTAGACGTTACATATTTTAAAATTAAGTAAAGTAGGGATATTTATTATGAGGAAGAAGGGCTGAATGGTAAATGGGTTGGGGGGATTTGAATTGGGGTGAAGGTGTGGTGAAAATGTAGCCGTTTAGAGGCAAGGAAGACAGAAACTGCTTTGGCCTTTTGGCTGTCCTATGGGCCTGCATGACTACTCTTTTTATCTTCTGTTTTGACCTTTTTGTGTTGTTTGAAAATAAAAGCCAACTTTTGTTACTTTCGGCCTGAGTTTTGCTAGAAAGTAAGGGGGACTATGAACCTAACAACATTTTTATATGCCAATGTAAGTGTTAGCAAAGTAAACAGAGAGAGAGAGAGAGAGAGAGAGAGAGCAATTTTGAACACATTTTTATATGCAAATAGTTGTTAGGGTTGTTGATTATCCAATAAGTAACACTTTTTTTTTATTTTTTTTGTGAATTTCTCATAAACGTGACAATTCGTATTATTGTGTCATAATTATATTATGTTTAAATAAGATATAATTAATTATATGAATAAATATAATATAATTAATTAAGTAAATTAAAAATTTAAATACATATTTTTAAATAAGTCGAACTAAATTTCATATAACACAACGAATCAATTTAAACATGATTAATCTATATACATGAGTATCATAATCGGATTAAATGGGTTGTATTATAGGAATTGACACCATTGTAACTATAGGAAAAAGCCAGGCAAAAGACCTACCAAAGGCCCCCTCTCAACTTGAAGCTATTGACATTTGATTCAAGCTCAGAAACCCCAAACCATAAAAAGATGTTTTAAAAAATAGTTTTTATTGAAAAGGATGCATGCCAAATGCCAAAAGCCAAAAGCCAAAATAGACTTCAGAATCAAGCATGAGGACGGTTTTACTTTTCCAAGGTACATTCCTTGACCTTCCCTTATCCCGCCTTCTCTATTCAATCTCTATAATAAGACTAAACACCTTTCGGGGCATAGACAAGGTTTTCAATGGACAAGTTGATTCTTCTGTCAGCAATTTTTCAGTACCCAAATTTTCAAACAAGTTGCCTGTCAATGCCCCTTTTGCATGGGTAGAACGATAGGAGCTTCCGATAGAGCCCCTGGGGTCTCCTCCAGCCTCAGAACTGTCGTAAATGTCTCCTCATTTCATCGTACACGCTTCGTTATTTTCATCATTCAGAGCAATTTGATGAACATAACAATGCTTATGTTTTATGTAAGTGTTTGGTGTTTGCCTCTCATTATTGTTTGCCATATGGAGCTAAGGTCCCTATGTCTAACCACTCTCAATAAAGCTCTCTTTGATGGAGCACATACACCCCAAATTAAGGTTTAATAACTTGGTGGTTAGACCAGGGTACAGCCTTTTATGTAGAGACATTAAGACTGAAGGGCTCCAAGGGTTTGAACCCACGGAATCCTTTTTGACTGACCCAAATTTGGGGACCTCTCATTAAATTTGTATAATTACCATAACTCTTGAAGGGGTGTGTATGCAAGCTGTGCTCATATCAATGACCTAGTTGTAGTGAAATTAGTGCAGTTCATTATTAACATTGATAAGGGCTTTTGCTTGCTAAGTTGGAAAAAGTTTCCAATTGCAACATATCTCTATGTCCATTTGGTCATTTTTCAATAATTTTACGTCACTGTGTCTAATTTTATGTTATTAATAAAAGACCTTAACCCTTACACCTAACCCAAAACCCTAACAACGAATGCAAATAACTTAATATTAAGAGTGTCTTTGTATAAAAAAAATTATTAAATCAGAAACTCAAAGTAAGTTTGGGGTTTGGAGCTTTTCTTCTTCTATTTGTTCAAAAAGAAAAAAGAAATCATTATAGAATTTGAGTGAAATATTAATCATTTTTATTATCAAGTAAAAAGAAAAAGCACACAACTCATGTATGATATATCAAAACGAGTTTCTAAATATTATGAAAAAAATAATATAATATCATAAATTTGAAAAACATAAAAATTCAAAAATATTTTAAAAATATTTTTTAAAAAATTACTAATATTTAATTTGTAAAGTTTTTCCAACTATTAAATTCATTTATTAACAAGATTATAATATTTAATTCGTTAATAATATATAAAATCTATCTACCGAGAATCTATTCATTTTTACTAAATCTAACCCGGGCTTCAGCCAGATATTTTCAGTACACTAAGGGGCCCAAATTAAGCCCAACAAGGCCCAAAACCAAGGATCACTTGCAAGGCCCAAATTAAATAATTAAAACATGCCAATTAAAAGAATATATAAAAAAATATCATTGCCCACACAGAAACAGACGGACCCTCCACCTGCAAATCAGTTAAACGAGCTGTCCAGAAAAACAAAACACCCATGTTTTATTTTTAAACCTTTTTTTCAACCTCCAATGATATCCCGCCACATGTCATCTTGTCCAGTGAAGTCGTTTTCAAATTTAATTCCAGAAACAAGAAGGAAGAATACGAACAGAGCACCAGCGAAAAAGTCGAAGCCAGAAAACAGAGAGAGAGAGAGAGAAAGGAGAGGAAAAAAAGTCACCAATTAGACTCGGGAAGCAGTTTGAAAGTCTTCAGACAAACGAAACCAAAAGAATCAATCTTTCACCTTTTGATTTTTCCCTCTCAAAAAGGTATTTTTTAAAAAAATTTGTTCCTTTATAATTACTTCGCGATTCTCTTTAAAGTTATTGCGCCTAATTTTACGGTTTTTTTTTTAATTTTGAA